TTACGCCATTCCGAATTGGGCATGGAAAACAGTACTCTCTTCGGCAAACGATGGTTCGGCATGCGTAAAACATGTCCCAACCAACGCAGCTTCTGGTGCTGGACACATTCTTCAATGGAAGTACCCGTTACACAACCGAAAACACGCTTTCTAACTGACTCGTTACGGATTCGCCGACACCAACCCACACGAGCTATGGTTCTGAGACAACGATTGTCGAACACCTGAAGACGTCTCAGGTCCGCTGCTCGAATAGGCCAAGTCTCACAGCCATACAATAAAACAGCCCGTACTGTAGCTTGATACACACGTCCCTTCAGATTCAGGGATAAACCATTCTGACGCCATAGGTGTCTCAAGTTAGCAAACGCCGCCCGAGCCTTGCAGACATCAGTTAGCCTTCAGATAGTTCTGTCTCCAGCCAAACAAAGGGAGGGTCACTTGAGCTTCATTCTTGATTGCCCATATTATGTCCAATGCTGTCCATATCTACGTTTCCGTCACTCCGAAGTAGGCATGGAAACCAGTGCTCATCTCGGAGGTAACTCAGTCTATACAGTACACAGCCCAGACACCTAAGACTGGAATTATGGGCGTATTCTTTCAGTGAATCGCCTTCCGTCTACAAAAAAGCTCGTTTTATAATAACCTCACTCCGAAACTGCTTTTTCCAGCCGATTCTGACCGTAGTCCTGGGGCACCGGTGGCCAAAAACTGAAGATATCCAGAATCATACATCAAAGTGGCCGATTCCCGTGGCCACATGATACAGTACGCACTATAGTCTGGTACACGCATCCCTTGAGAAGCCTGTCTGACGCCACAAGGGGCAAAATTGGCTAACACAGATGCAAAATCAATGAATATATTGCCACGGAAACTAATGCAGTTGATAAATTTCCTCATTTGTGGTAACAGATGAATTTCACTGAGTCTAAAAATCTGTGTGTACAAGCTAACCGTAATCGTCATCTTACCCTACGACCGTAAGACCGGGCTCCTCCGATTTAATTACCTTATGCGATTTCAAACGCGTGATCAACGGTGCTTTCGCAAAAGGTCACCTGGTAGCTTCTATCACTACTGTTCTAAAACAAGTCGGACAACAGATTCTTCTGGAATCTATGCTGGACTCGAGTTTTATTGATGTGCGTTGTACCACTGAGCTGAAAACTCGAGACACAAGTGCAGTCGTTAAAATAACCTTCCCATCGGTCTCCGGCCGCTTCCGGTGTTGCAGAAGCCTCTGAGGCTGGTTCTGCTACGGTTAGCATTGTTCTAATTCACTGAGCTGCAGGACCTGTGTTTGAATGATTATCCGTTGATAGCTGCCTCTGTGCAGGTCGTTTGGCAACGTCTGAGAGAGTACCCTGTAAACGCGCCGATAATCGCTGACTGTTCATCGTATCTGGTTATGTTCGAAAAGACTGTAGCTCTGGTGCTCTCGAAGATAGCTTCTACGGTGCGTTGAATGCCCCATTGCAGCGGGCCAAGTGTTCAGATATGGTTGTGGTTGCTGGAGATTGAATGCGCAACTGGTGCTCTCGAAGATAGCTTCTACGGTGCGTTGAATGCCCCATTGCAGCGGGCCAAGTGTTCAGATATGGTTGTGGTTGCTGGAGATATGAATGCGCAAGTAGGTAGGCGCGGCATTGCTCAGGCCATTAGGTAGTCTTCTTGGACTGAGATCGAGACGCCCGGAAAACAGCGAACGCCTGTTGCAGTGCTGACCGAAGACTCTCTCCATGCAATACTAACTCCCGAAGCAACCGGACCCATCTGGCCAAATGGTGCCCCCGCTTGCGAACCAACATCCAACACAGATACATCACATTGCCATTAGCTATGTGTGGCGTGAGTCACTCATTGATTGTTGCTTGCTCTGAAATGTCCATGTGAGTTCAAATCGTGCGCTTGTTCGTTGATGTTTTGCGCTCTTCATGGGCGCGGAAGATTCGCACACCTCGCCTGGTCATGAGAACTTCTCGGACCCTGGTGTCAAGCGAGCCTGCAAAAAGTGCCTGCTGAAGTCTTCTGAAAAACGTCTCTTGATGTTGGATCTTACTGGAAGACCCTGTCCGCAACATTGCAAGACGGGGGCGCTCCGCTTGTGGAAAGGTGCAGCATACTGGGTCTATGCACTGGATTTCGAACAGCACTTTGAAACTGCTCGAAGCTCAGACACGTGCCCTTCCTGGTGGAGAGCACAATGCCACTGGACGAAATCTGAAGAATGATTAGAAAAAGAGCATCTGCCCGGATCGGTAGATCTAGAAAGCCGAGGAGGTGGAGGAAAGAAGCCCTGGGAATGTGCGTAAAACGTTCCAGCCCAAAGGAGCCTGAGATGAGCGAAACAATCACTGTTGACAATGGGTAACTTACCAGTGAATAGTAAGTGCCCGAATCGTCGTGTTGACAACTTTTAACGTTGTTAAACTCAGCCGACCTGCGACGCAGCCCCGGACAGTGAACTTAGAACTCCCGATAATTTTGAAAATAGGCGAACGACTTTCCTCATTCAAGCATCATCGAGCCAGTGGTCATGGCGAACTCCCGCCCACCCTGTTTAAAGATGACGGTGGAATCCTTGGTCGGTGCTTGTATAACTCCCCTGGATATGTTTCTTCACAGCTGTGGCACCGTTAAAAACCACTGGTTACTAGTAGTGTACTGTGTTAACTAGAAACCCAACTGAATCCATTTGAAGCTCTCGTTTATGATATTCTTTAACTGATTGTGTTGCGCGAAGGCCGCTTCGTGTTTCGCTTGGTACGACATTCGATTCAGCACAGTGAAGTTTAAAAAAAGCGTTCAGCCGTAGCACCCTTCTGTGCCTAGCTGGCCATGCCACCAGAAGGGAGCACGAGGGCTGGGATACTGCCAGGTTGCCCAAGCCTAGACATGGGAAGTCGAGTGGCGGAGGTCGGATTCGAACCACGGACCTTCCGGTCAGTAAATTCGCGCTCTAACCACTTGGGCCATCTCGCCCCACAGTGAAGTTTAGTAACGGAACACATCTCAGTGAGCTGCCGAGACCTAATCAAAGGCCCACAACCGGTTTCACCAATTTTATGATTAATCTAGTGGACGCTGTCTTTCAGTATTTGCACCAAATGGAATATGGGGCGGCGAAACAAGTGGGACCAAAGAAGGATGAAACACGCCGTGGCCTGCGGGGCAGTTCCAGGAAACTAACAAGTAGCATGTTACGTGGTATTTCGAATATCGTACCATTACAACACGCACACAGTTGGAGAATGTCATTCATGAGAGATTCCACAGATGATTAACCTGAATCCTAATTAAAACTAAATTGGTGTCCAAACGTCTCTAGCGAATGTCGTTTTATTTGGGACCAAGCAGAACGTATGATTGACGAAAAGTTTGGAAGTGCACCTACCTGATGAATCCTGAGAAGAGCAGCTCTGGTTTAGAACTGTACAGGAGACACAGCAGCATTGATATTATAAGATAACCAATGTCATCACTGTGACAGAATTAAGAATTTAAAACCTCTTCCTGCTGCCCGGATCATCGGGGCCAAAAGGTGAAAGAAACCGTGCGAAAGCGGAAAATAACCAGAATTTTCCGCACTAGACCTGTATCATTTTGCTGACTGAATAGACTGAAGTTTCACACACATATCAGGTGCCTAGAAGAGCCTAAATACACCTAACATGTTTTGAAATGACTGACACATCCACTATGGAAGTTGACGCTTTTACTGGGCTCGATTAATATCTTTAACCGCTGAAAGTCACTAAGGTTTTCCTCTGCCCAGTATCCTACTCTAAAAGTCACTTGGGTTTATGAACTAGGGATCATTCGGCACTCCACGGATATCTCACAAGCAACCCAACACCAGCCAGCCCACCATTGTTTTATAGACGCATTTGAACCGACGTTATATACTATCCACTTCTCTAAAAAAAGTTCGCAAACTCACTTGACGTAAGCTGGAATACGTTCCATCTTTAGCTTGAGATGAGGTTGTAGTCAAGACTCCCTCTTCACTCGACGAGTCGGATGGGTAAAAAACACTGATTATTAAGGTCAGAATAGCAAACAAAAGGACGGATATAAGAAGTACATCGAATAACTCTGCCTGGACAAAATAAGCCAATACATCCATTTTGAGAACGGCGCTGATTGTGGCCATGAGATTGGTGCATGGTTTAGTGCAACAAATTCAGTACCAGCAACCGAAGTTATCAGCTTGGTACAGTAGGCACAATGTGTACTGTAGGCCACTAATGGAATAGAAAGTCATAGGCCGGTCGGTTTGGGCCAGTAAATATCGCCCCCCGAACTCAGGTTCGTATGGTGGCTGAAGGAGAAGAAAAGTGAATGCCCCATTATCTGCGATGCATAACAGGATGAAACTGGGGAAAGTAAATGTTATCTAGACAGTGAGTACAGCTTATTGTACATAAATAATCTTATATAAAAGTTTGAACACCAATAGATCTTGCCAGAAATGCATGTAATTTTTTGTTCAGAGGACCCAATCAGGGAGAATGCATAGTGATGATGTAGCCGTATTGATCTCCCGATTAGAAACACAGAGCAAGAGGGCGAACACAACGGATTACCAAAGCTTATTCTAGATAAAAGCCACTGCGGAAGAGAATAAATTGACGCTCGTCCTTAACGTAACCCACTGAAGAATGGGCTTGGGTGGTTGACCATGCGTTAGGAAGTAATGGGAGTTGGCGAACAATACACCGAGACTGGGACGCCATGAGGTTGTAGTTGTGGATAAGGCGACATCATAGGAAGCGTATTTTAGAATGCATGGGTTTACGCGGAACATGATCTCTGGTTGCGATAGGATACCGCTGCGCAGTGGTCATAATATTGCATCCTCCATGTATTCAACCAAGAAGAACGAAAGAGTGAAAGCTGTGGTGTTTAGCAAATCAATGTTACATTTTCCCCATTTTCTACTCCCTTCATATAAACTTGAATTGCAATTTGTAGACACTGGACACGTATCATGACATTTTGTTTTATTGTACCAATAATTACATTAAAATCGAAAATGGTGAAATACACAATTTCTTGGCGCGACTTCCCTGTTTTTTGCTGAGTCAGTGAAATTGCATCCGATTGAACTGATTGCTGTTTGCTGAAGTCGAGGGATTGGATTATTGTGTTTGTGTGTGAACTGTTGAACGTCACAATAACTCCTTGTGACAATTTTCAGCTGCGATAAATTCCTACCGTGGAATTTACTTCTAACACTCGAACTATCAGTGGAGAATATCCTTCTTACTCTGGATATATTCTTCGCCGCCGAATACGATTACTGCACAACATTTCGTGTAGTGGGATTATTGGACCCCCAATTTAGTGAGTCTGTTCCATTCACTTGTCCATTTCTTATTGCCATTTGTTATTTCTAATCTGATATTTTGCTTGTATATTTTATTGACCACGCATACTTAGGTCCTTGTACGCTACATAATTGGTGAGCCCTATTTTTATTGTCATTTTCTCTGCAGTACTCCCATAGTTTTCCGTCACTCCGATTTTTCTCCACGCATTTAATTCATTATCATGGCCTCTGAAGAAACGCAAGCACTTGAGGTAGACAACGTTATATATGTTAAATTGCCAGAATTCGGTTCTCGTGACCCTCGTCTCTGGTTCGCTCAGCTCGAGGCTATATTCGAATCTCGACGCATCACCTCCCAAAATAGCCGGTATAATCACGTAGTAGGATGTTTGCCAGATTTTATCGCACGTGAAGTATCTGATTTGATATACAGTCGTCCACCTACCGATCCGTACGATGTTCTGAAATCGGCCATCATTTCTCGCACCGGTGCCAGCGATGAGCAAAACTTACGGAAACTTCTTTCCGGTGTCGACTTTGGTGATAAATCTCCGTCGCAGCATCTACACCACATGATGTAGCTGCAAGGTAAATATCGGGTGAAAGACGCTGTTTTAAAGGAGCTTTGGCAACAAAGCCTTCCTGTAGAGGTTCGTAAAGTCATCTCGGTCATCGAGAAGGATTCGTCTTTGGAAAAACTCGCCGAGGTCGCCGACCGCGTTCACGAAACCTGCAGACAATTCTTTGTTTCTAACGTACAACAACCGACCACCTCCACGTCCAATCTCGAACTCGAACTCAGCTCGGTCAAAGCTCAGTTTGCCGAGCTATCTCTCGAACTCAATTACGTAACGAAGCTGATTAGTCGTCCGCCCCAACACCGACGTTCTAGACCCCGCTCCAACACTCGCACTTCCAAGCCCAACGACCAGCCCGGCATGTGCTACTACCACCGTCGTTTCGGCGAACGCGCTGTCGGTGCACTAGGCCAGTAATGGCGACCACTGCACCCGGTCCTACCCCATGTAGCCTGTTTTTTATATATGACCGATCCCCATCATTGAACTTTCTCATTGATACAGGTGCTGAGGTTAACGTGATTCCTCCTCCTCCACGCAAGCAAAACCTTCAGCCAGTGGCATATACTTTGCAGGCCGCCAACGGGACGAACATAAAAACCTATGGTGAAAAGCTCCTGACACTCGACTTAGGTCTACGTCGTCAGTTTCCCTGGGTTTTCACAGTGGCCGAGGCTAAAAACCCCATCATCGGTATGGATTTTCTCACATCGTTCGGTATCGCAGTTGATCTCCGTCTACGGCAGTTACTCGACAATGCGACCACCTTATACCTCAGTGGCAAAGCCTCTTCCATTAATTCTATTGGAATTCGTCCCGCTTTGCCAGATAACCGGTTCGCTGCCCTTCTCCGCCAACATCCCGAAATCCTGCAACCTGCTCCTAAGACCGCTGCTGCCAAACACGATGTTTTTCATCATATCTCAACCAGAGGTCTTCCAACCACTTCTCGTCCTCGCCGTTTAACACGCGAGAAGTTAGCTAGTCCAGCACTTACTGCAATTGGATATCATTCGATCATCATGTAGTACCTGACCATCACCACTACACACGGTCCCAAAAAAGTCCGCAGGAGATTGGAGACCATGTGGCGACTATCGCGCACTAAATCGCGTCACAATCCCGGACAAGTATCCGATGCCGCGTTTGCACGACTTTGCTCTTACGCTTCATGGCAAGTCTGTTTTCAGCAAGTTAGATCTAGTCACGGCTTATCACCAGATTCCTGTCGCTACTGAAGATATTCCCAAGACTGTGATCACCACGCCGTTTGGTCTATATGAATTCGTTCGCATCACATTTGGACTCAGAAATGCAGCCCAAACTTTTGAACGATTCATGGATCAAGTACTTCGCGGATAAGACTTCGTTTGCGCCTACATTGACGATGTTCTGATCGCCAGCCGCTCTGAAGACGAACATCTTGTTCATCTTAAGCAAGTTTTCGAACGCTTCCAGCAGTATGGTATAATCATCAATAGCAGCAAATGTCAGTTTGGTGTACCGTCACTAGAAATACTAGGACACATTGTTGACTCAAACGGCATCCGTACTGTGCCATCAAAAGTATCTGCTATTCTGGACTATCCTGCCCCGGACAGTATCAAAACGCTACGGCGTTTTCTCGGCCTTATTAACTATTACCGTCGCTTTATCCCAGACTGTG